ACAAGTTTATTTTTCCTCCCAAGAAGCAATATTAAAGTAATTGTTAATGTATTCGATTTGCAGGCTTTATACTATGTTCCATGTTTTCTTTTCTTTTTTTTTTTTTTTGAGATGGGTTTTCACTATGTTGCTCAGGCTGTTTTTAATTCTTGGACTCAAGGGATCCTTCTGCTTCAATCTTCCATACCTGGTTTTTTGTTTTTAAATGGTACTGGGGATTGAACCCAGTGGTGCTCCACCACTGAGCTAAATCCCCAGCTGTTTCTTATTTTGAGATTGCCCAGGCATGCCCTTGAACTTGCAGTCTCCCCTCTTGCCTCAGGCTCCAGAGTAGCTTCAATGTTTTCTTGTGATAAAGGAAAATATTGGTACAGTGAAGGATATCTGCATTAATTATGAGTTTTATCAGAGGCAAACTGTCATCTATTTGGCAAGTACTTCATAAAAGCACTTTATGGAGATTAACTATGGAGGTACGTGGTGTAGACTGCATTCTGTCTGTGGCCCTGAACTACCAAATATACACTGAACTGGTCTTGGGTTGTATATTCTAGCCCCTTTTTAATCTTTAAGGAAACAAATAACTCATCTTTCCACTTGTCTCTCATATTCTCATTATTAAAAGCTCCTTTGGTGTACCCCTACTTATCCTGCTTCAACTCCCTACACCTTAACTCCCCCACTGTAATATAAGTGTGTTGGATTGTGTGATTCTTAGGGTTCTCTTGATTTTTATATCATCCATGGTGTTGTGCTTATGAACATTTAAGATAAAAAAGCAAGACAGGAGAAAGACTTCAGATTATCATCAATTTGTAAATAATCTAGACTGAATTATTAACTTCATTTCAGTGGCTGCATCTTTTTTTTTTTTTTTGGTTCTTCTGTGGGCTTAAGGTCGGTAGTAATTAGATGGGCAAATGTAAAATATCTTCGTAGAATCCTGTCTTTGAAGATTTAAAATTTTTGATTGCATTGCAGTATGTGTATATTCTATGTACCTATTTGACTACTTCCTTCTACTTCATTCATAACCAAAGAATGGCTTTAAGTGTGAATGTTGCTAATTTGACTTCTTGTTGCAGACAAAACTTACCTGGGGCCCCTACTTATGGTTTTACATGCTTCGGGCTGCCACATCAACCCTTTCAGGTACTGTTTTTCTGTTTGAAAATTGCATAACTGCTGTAATATACTCCAAGAATAAGAACTTTGCCAAGTTTCAAACTTAAGGGAGAAACAAAAGGGAGATGCTAGCTTGCATTGGAAGATTAATATAATCTAATTTGTACATTTTTCAGCTTCTGGTTTTAGTTTTTGGCACTGGGGATTGAGGCCAGAAGTACTTTACCACTGAGATACACCCTAGCACTTCATACTTTTTGAGACAAGGTTTTGCTAAAGTTGCCCAATCTGGCCTTGAACTTGTGATTCTTCTGTCTCAGCCTCCCAAGTCAGTGAGTTTATAGGAGTGTGCCACTGTGCCCAGTCTGTTAGCATCTATAATGCTACTGTCATTGAGTTTCTTAACTGGTTTTGTTCTTGTTCTATTATGTTACTTAGTCTAAAGCCTGTAGTTTTACTTCATTTATAGTTTTTATTTTAAACTGAAATACATCTTATTTCTGAAGGAAATTAATTATCAACTAATGACTTAATTATGCTAATTTAAATATAGATTAACCATAAAACTTTTCTTCTTCCAATTTTAACTTCTTTTTTTTTTAAAGAGAGAGAGAGAGAGAATTTTAATATTTATTTTTTAGTTTTCGGCGGACACAACATCTTTGTTGGTATGTGGTGCTGAGGATCGAACCCAGGCTGCATGCATGCCAGGCGAGCGCGCTACCGCTTGAGCCACATCCCCAGCCCCCAATTTTAACTTCTTTATAGCTTCTATTTCAGTCTTTTACTAGAGCATATTGTGAATAGTAATTGATTCAACAAACATTTGCAAGTACTCGCTCGCTATATGCAAGACAGTCTGGTGTAGTGGAAAGAACATGAGTTTTAAACCTAGAGTTCAATTTTAGATCTGCTTTATCAGCTCAGCTTAGACAAGTCCTTTAATATATCTAAGCCTAACCTTTCCCCATGGCTGCCACATGATAGGCACTAAATGAGAAAGTAACCCCCTTCTTCACCTCAGTGATAGCCAACCTTCTAAGGTATACATTTTTCTTAAAATAAATATACATGTAACAGATCATTATAATGTCTGGCAAGAAATGTTATAATAGAGGGCTGGGGATGTGGCTCAAGTGGTAGCGCGTTCGCCTGGCATGTGTGCGGCCTGGGTTTGATCCTCAGCACCACATACAAAGATGTTGTGTCCGCCGAAAACTGAAAAATGAATATTAAAAAAATTCTCTTAAAAAAAAAAAAGAAATGTTATAATAGAAATGTGAACAGACTGTTGCTGGGAGCCCAAAAAATGCTACTAATGGTTCTTAGAGAAATGAGGAAAGACAAATTGGGTTTCAGTAATCTCCTTGAGCATAGGAACAGTAACTTTTGTATTCTAGTGTCTTACATACAGAAAGTGCTCAAAAAATGTTTATGGAATTTTCTTTTAAATTTTGTGTCTTTAGTGTGCGACTTTCTTGGAGAGAAGATTGCATCTGTATTGGGTATTAGCACCCCAAAATACCAATATGCCATTGATGAATATTACCGGATGAAGAAAGAGGTATGTCTCCTTTTTATATATATATTTTTAAATTTGGTTTGGTTTACTATAGATTTGATGGGTTGCATAATAAGCTTATGCAGCTGCCCAAAAGATAGCAACTTTATTTTTTGTGTTTGCTGCTGGGGATCAAACGCAGGGGCAAGTGTTCTATCACTAAAGATAGCTCCTTTAGTTTATAAAAACAATATACATTTTAGGATTCTTTAAAAATGGAATTTCCTTAAGATCCATGTGCAAAAACTAAGTTATGTTTCATTGTGCTAGTCCTGTGTGAGTTGCCTTATATACATTAATCTTCACATACCACTTTTTGAATCATTCTAATTTTAAGATGAAGAAACAAGACTCAGCCTCTGTACTTGTGCATGTAAGACTGGATATAGAAGTGTTATAAAAAATGAGTATGTGCCCACTATGAAAGTGCAAAGATGTGAGGACTATTATTTCTGCAGGAGGTAGTGAGGCCTTAGGGTGGGGGATGACAGGAGTTTAGACCTAAAGAATTAGAAAGATTTAGTGCTTTAAGAACATAGGCTTAAGAACCAAAGGCTTCAAACTCAAAATCTGGCTCTGGTACTTCTAACTTCAATTTCCTTATCTTTATAAATGAGAACCACTACCTCTATACTAGGTTTAATGAATTAATGTCTCAAATGCTTAGACTAGCACCTAGTGTATACTGAGCAGCACACAAATAGATACTAGTATCTATTATTCTCCTTCAAGCAAATTAAAAATAGCAATTCAAGTGAAGTTAGTATGTAGAAGTTGTGAAGATTTACACTACAAGCCCTGTTTAGAGCCCCATTACCTCATTTGGACTATTATAATAGCTTCCTAAATGGTCTATCTTTTTTTTTTTATTGGTTGTTCAAAACCTTACAAAACTCTTGACATATCATATTTCAAACATTAGTTTCAAGTGAGTTATGAACTCCCATTTTTACCCCAAATACAGATTGCAGAATCACATCGGTTACACATTCACATTTTTACATAATGCCATACTAGTAACTGTTGTATTCTGCTACCTTTCCTATTCTCTACTATCCCCCTTCCCCCCTATCTTCTCTTTCTATCCCATCTACTGTAATTCATTTCTCTCCTTGTTTTTTCTTCCAATTCCCCTCACAACCTCTTTTATGTAATTTTTTATAACAATGAGGGTCTCTTTCCATTTCCATGCAATTCCCCTTTTCTCTCTCTTTCCTTCCCATCTCGTGTCTCTGTTTAATGTCAATCTTTTCTTCCTGCTCTTCCTCCCTGCTCTATTCTTAGTTGCTCTCATTATATCAAAGAAGACATTTGGTATTTGTTTTTTAGGGATTGGCTAGCTTCACTAAGCATAATCTGCTCTAGTGCCATCCATTTCCCTGCAAATTCCATGATTTTGTCATTTTTTAGTGCTGCGTAATACTCCATGGTGTATAAATGCCACATTTTTTTAATCCATTCATCCATTGAAGGGCATCTGGGTTGGTTCCACAGTCTAGCTATTGTGAATTGTGCTGCTGTGAACATCGATGTGGCAGTATCCCTGTAGTACGCTCTTTTAAGGTCTTCAGGGAATAGACCAAGAAGGGCAATAACTGGGTCAAATGGTGGTTCCATTCCTAGCTTTCCCAGGAATCTCCATACTGCTTTCCAAATTGGCCGAACCAATTTGCAGTCCCACCAGCAATGTACAAGAGTACCCTTTTCCCCACATCCTCTCCAGCACTTGTTATTGTTTGACTTCATAATGGCTGCCAATCTTACTGGAGTGAGATGGTATCTTAGGGTAGTTTTGATTTGCATTTCTCTGACTGCTAGAGATGGTAAGCATTTTTTCATGTATTTGTTGATTGATTGTATGTCCTCCTCTGAGAAGTGTCTGTTCAGGTCCTTGGCCCATTTGTTGATTGGGTTATTTGTTGTCTTATTGTCTAATTTTTTGAGTTCTTTGTATACTCTGGATATTAAGACTCTATCTGAAGTGTGAGGAGTAAAAATTTGTTCCCATGATGTAGGCTCCCGATTTACTTCTCTTATTGTTTCTCTTGCTGTGAAAAAACTTTTTAGTTTAAGTAAGTCCCATTTGTTGATTCTTGCTATTAACTCTTGTGCTATGGGTGTCCTGTTAAGGAATTTGGAGCCTGATCCCACAATATGTAGATCTTAGCCAACTTTTTCTTCTATCATACGCAGAGTCTCTGATTTGATATCAAGGTCCTTGATCCATTTTGAGCTAATTTTTGTGCATGGTGAGAGGAGGGGATTCAGTTTCATTTTGTTGCATATGGATTTCCAGTTTTCCCAACACCACTAAATGGTCTATCTTAATTCTCACACCCCTAATTAATCTTCCCTGAAAGGTTACTCTGTATTAACTATCACTATCAAAGGGTACAAAACAGATGCCACCTTCTCAATTAATTTAGAGTTGAAGAACTAGAAATTACTTTTATTTTTAAATTTTTTTAGTATTTATTTTTTAGTTGGACACAATATATTTATCTATTTTTATGTGGTGCTGAGGATCGAACTCAGGGCCCCCCACATACTAGGCGAGTGTTCCACTGCTGAGCCACAACCCAAGCCCCTCTTTTCTAAATCTTTATAGTACTTATTTGTTTTAATACTTTTCACCTGTCTCAACTTCCCTACTAGATTATAAACCTCTTCAGGGCAGGAACTGCCTTATTTGCCAATTTTTAAATTTAGATAGGCTTAATCTAAATTTAAAAAAAAAAGCCCCTGTCAAAGTTAATTCAGGACTCATCTAAGCTAGTTCTAGACCATATTTTAAAAATAACTTGACTTGATTTATATTTTATATAATAACTTTTATTTTTAAAATTTTTTTAAGTTGTCAATGGACCTTTATTTTTTTATTTATTGATGTGTGGTGCTGAGAATCAAACCAAGTGCCTCACACATGCTAGGTAACACTCTGCCACTGAGCCACAATCCCAGCCCTAATAACTTTTATAATAATTATTTGGGGAAAAAGGGAAGGGGGAGTATGTCTTAATTAGACCAAACTGAATTGGACATGATACTGTTTTGGTTTAAAAAAAAGTATGAAAAGCTGTGGTGAGAGAAGAACTACTGTTCTTTTGGACATTAACATTTCAAGTACTGATATTTCCCATTTTTAGGAAGAAGAAGAAGAAGAAGAAAATAGGATGTCTGAAGAAGCAGAAAGACAATACCAACAGAGCAAGCTTCAGGATAATTCCATTGTTCAGACAGATCAACCAGAAACAGTGGTGTCCAGTTCATTTGTGAATCTTAATTTTGAAATGGAGGAAGACTGTGAAGTAATTATGGAAAGCAAACAAAATTCAGTCTCTGTCCCACAATAGAATGAAATGACTATCAAACTTCAAGTCCTAAAGCTTTCTTTTTTTAATACCAGGAACTTTCATATTTTCTATTTAGTGAAACTTTAATTAATTTATATTTTAAATTATTGTTATCTGGAAAGAAGAAATGTTTCTCCATTATTAGGCTTTAACTATCAAAAATCAGATCTGAAATTTATATGCACTATGCTTTTGCTGTATGTTGAAAATAGTGCTTTGTTTTTTTTCCTTTTGCAGTACTGGGCATTGAACCCAAGGCCTTGTGCCTTCTAGACAAGCACTCTACCACTGAACTACACCCTCAGCACAGTGCTTTGGTTTTATGATCTTTAAAAAAGGTTAAGGACATTCTAGATTCCTAATCAATTAAGAAGAGTTAATTTTCTGTTATTTGTTTAAAAAAAAAAAAAGGTAAGTTATTGATTTAGGGTAACTGGAGCTGGTAATCCTACAGTCTCAGATTAAAATGAGTATTGACCTTTCCCAGATTTTCTCATGTTATGCCTTGAATTTTATGCTTTGCATTTAATTTATTTAACCATTAATTTCATACAAAGCATGATTCACTAAGTGTGTAATAAAAGGAACAAGATGGAAGCACCCTGAATTTTCCTTTTATCAAGAATAACTTTTATGGAAAAGTATCTGAATTTACTACACCAAATATTAAAATATGTGCTAGGGATTGAATTCAGGGCATGCTAGGCAAGTACTCTGAACAATATCCCTAGCCCTGAGTTTCCTTTTTTTAATGAAAGTTATTGAAATTAAATAATCAGCTTTGTTTATGATGTTGACATTATTTAAAGAATGAATTTATTAATATATTTGTATTCAAATGGTAAAACCTAGTGATTATCCACATAGCATCCTCGTTATATCACTCATTCAGCCCTTAATGCCTCAGACAGGCAGAGCAGTTGGGTGGGAATTGGTGTACAGAATAGGTTGAAGCTATCAGAAGTTGTTAAATGTGGTTCAAGGTACATAGTAATAATGAAATTAGTTCCTTATTTCATTCATATTTTGAAGTAGCAACCTAGTTAATTAACCTGAGTTAATTTGCAAACTTTACAAAGTTATATGATATGAAGCTAATTTTGAAAATATTTCTGAACATGTGCAGAACCCCTGAGATGTGTGCATGACTTGATTTACAACTAAATGTGGATAAAGATGAATGCAACGGAGTGTTTTGGAAATGTTGACCTTAAAAGCTTTTTCAAGCTGAGTGAGTTGGTAATCCCAGCGATTTGATAGGGTAAGGCAGAAGGAAGTTTGAAGCCAGCTTCAGCAATTTAGCAAGATGAGTTAAAAATAAAAAAGGACTGGTGATGTTGCTCAGTGGTAAAGCTCCCAGTACCAAAAAAAAAGGACCTTTTCACAAACTTAATACTCAGTGGTTATATTAACAGCCATCTAAATAGTGTTAAGCTTTCAATCTTAAATTTTATCTAAGATATAGTTTAAAAAAACACTCAAAATGTGCAGAAATCTATAACAAAATGTCATAGAAATCTATGTATTGTCAGTGTGTGTGAATTCAGTTCAACTGAAAATTGAAAAATTTCAACTGGAAGTTGAAACATCAAGTGAAAGCTGAAGTTCTTTAAATTCTTCAACTGATAATTGAATTTAGGAAGGATAAACTCTTAGGAATCTTCAGTTATGTAGATATCAAGGCATGGTGTTTCATACTATGTGATGGTAATAATTTTATTCATGGTTGTAAACTATATAACTTAGTGCTTAAAGGATTCTCATCATTGTGTATAATGTCACCATAAATTAGTTTATTAACAGCTCTTAAATATGCCAGGGCGACGTCACTCTTCCTTCCAATATGTTTTAAACTGAGAATAGTACCTATCAAGTGAAGGCAGGTGTGTTCTAACCATGATCTTCTGAATCTTCTCCTTACAGGTTCTAATGTCTAATATCTAGTTTACCTAGAAACTTTTGTGACTATAGTAGAAGGAAGATAGTGACTTTGAAAGGTTTGTTTCTTGAATTTTACTTTCACTACATGCCCAAAGTAGCCAGTTTGTAATGTTTATAGTTATTCACTGTGCCTTACATTTTTATACTTTTTTGTTTATTCAAACTATAAAATTTCCCATAAATGCATTAAATGGTTTGTCTTATTTTAAGCCTCTTTCACTTTTTCCTACTTAACAGTTCATGATATTCTGCTTCTAATCTCAAAAAAACTAAACTCAACAATTAGTATAATTAGCCTTTACTTAATTAAATACATTTTCTAACAAAAATCTTTAAATAATATGGAATTAAGTTTTATAAATGTAACTGTGGTATACTGGCTAAATAATGTAGACAGATTTCTTTTTATATCAGTAATTAGTTTTAGTAATTTTTATTGACACATCATCCTATTAAAAGAAAGATCATGTCCAAACACTTATAACCCAGAAATAAATGGCTCCACTCTAATGGAAAGTCATTTAACATCCCTGACACGATATAATGTTTCAGATGAAGAATGAAGGTTAAATGGCCAATAATTTAAACCATTCCTCAAATATTCTAATTCTGTATGAGGATCAGAAATATTCCAAGAAAATTTCCTCTATCTCTAAAGATTATGCAGATTTAACTGAATATCCCTGTACCTACTGCAAATCACACTTGCCATATTTGAGCTTGACTAAATGAAACCAGAACTTACCTCCTAAATAAGCAGTATTTGGTCCTATTGTTTCCAAACTATGTAACAAAATTCCAGGAACCGAAACACTTGCTGTGTTTTTTTAGACACATTATTTTATTTAAACCATTTCTAAAGGAGTTCTGCTTCAAAGGTTTCACATGCAGCATTCAAGCATCTTAAGACAGTCTAGTTTTTTAGAGATCATGTATCATCAAGGTCTGTAGAATTTTCACTGTCACTCGCAACAAGGGCTTCTCTGTTTTCATAAGTCCAGAAGCCATTCAGATCAATTAGAATGGTAGTGACTGTATCTCCTTGATTACTATTGATTAAATCCTGAAGAGAGATTTTCAAAGGATCCTTTGGTTTTACCATGTCAAAGATTTCATCCTGCAAGAGAAAAATACAGTAAAATCTGATTTACTTGGTATTTATCACAGTGATGTAAAATTCACAGCTGACAGTTAAGCTCTCATAAAAGTTTTTGCTTTACTTCTCTACTTGACAGGCAATCTCCTTTATCTAAAATCACAGAATCTTACTGGGAGATTCCTGAGCTATGTGATTTGCTATTTCTCATTTTATAGATGAAGAAACTTAGGTTCAGAGTTTAATTCAAGCTACATAGCTAATTAGTGGTAGAGCTAGTTAATGCAGTGTTCTGTGAATACATACTAACTTCAAGTACTTTTCTATTACCTTCTAATTGGTGATGAAAAAACATATTGGTTTTTTTATTTTGGGAGACTCAGGACTGAACCCAGGCAAGCACTATACCACCGAGCTATATCCCCAATCCTTAGTTTACTTTAAAAGAAAAAAAAAAAAACTTAGCTCAAACTAAAAACTTGAATACTTCAGAAATAAGTGACAAAACTTTATTTCCAATACCAATGTCAACTTTTTACTCTAGACTAAGGATGAGAGGAGGGGAGATTTCAGTATTAAAGAATTTGTCATCCAAAATGATGCGAAATTGTGCCAAAATGACTAGAAATTGATGGAAGAACCACTTTTACAGTAATGAACTGTATACTACATTTATATTATACTCATTTTCTAATATTTTTGAAGTAAAATCATTCAATATTTAGTAGCATTTAAGGAGGCAAATTACATTTTTAAAAGATTAACAATTCAGGAACATAAACTGTAGAAACTTTTAGTCTTTCCTAGATTGGTTACAGTTTAAAATTTTTATATCTTAAACTTCCTGTTGCAGAGTTTCAAATATGCTTTGTTTAGTTCTTTACTCAGTTGAAACTGGTCAGGGTATTTTATTACACATGTTACCAAACATGAAGAACCAAATGGTACTAGATACTGAAAGTTATTCGGAACTGGTAAAAATGATTACTAAAATGCTAGGCAACAACAGTGTTTGACATAGTGGTGGTTTTCATATTGTAGGGACTGATGTCTCCTTAAATTTAATATATCAAAGCAAGTGGCTCTTTGAGAGATTATACTAAAAAAGTGCTTGAATCTAAGTAGTTCCCAATTATAATTTGAATTTATAGTGGAATAGACTACCAAAGGATGCAAGCTAAACTGAAAAATGAATGCATGCTTCCAATGAAAACACAACGTTGACAATACTAAAATTTTGAACTCTAATTACAAATTAATCATGATTCACATGTCTTAATTTCCAATTATCTAAATATCAGTTCAGAACAAGTAACAGTTAATACCCGTTTGGGTATTTGCTTCTTTGGGTATAGTACTTGATAGTACATAGCTTTCATATAAAATTTCATGTTCTACAAGTGATTATCTGATATTAACACAATAATGTTTACTGGTAATGTTATATACATTAAAGAGGAAAAATTAACCTTGACGTCTTGAAATGAAACAGGATCTTGTCCATGGATTTTCATTAGTTCTTGTATGGCCTGTATTTAGTGGAAATAAATCTAAATAAAAAATAAAATTCACAATATCCCCCTTCTCGCCCCAAATATCTTTCTATTCCTTTTTCTTTCCTATCACACCAGAAGCCTTATCATCTAAATCTCTCTTACCTATCTTAATTTCCTTGATCTTGCTCCACGTCCAGTCAGTAAAATAATAAACATGCTGGTTCTGTGTAACTACTAACCTTTCTACATCTATATCTTAACTATTAAGAACTTCAGGATAAAAAAAACAATAGGACTGTGGATTCTTGCTACATTCTTGAATGTTCTCCCACTTCAAATAAGCCCTCAACATAGTCATTATTCTTTTATGGCCTGCTCTTCCTATTTTCTATGAATGCTGTTCATACATTCTCCATTAAAAAAAAATCTTTTTAGATGTAGATAGACACAATACCTTCATTTTATTTTTATGTGGTGCTGAGGATCGATCTCGTGACTCACTCGTGCTAGGCAAGCACTCCACTCAGCTCAACCCCACCCCACATTAACCATTCTTTAAGACCCCTATCCACATCTTCCTCCCAACCCTACAGTTTACCTTCTACTTAGAAAAAATGAAAGCAGACCTCCTTCAGAATCTTCCTTTTTATAAACGACAAGATCAAGAATGACTGTTGTCATTCAGTTGGACTAAAAAATACTTTAGGTGAGAGTCATTAATTTGGAAGTGTTAAGCTTAAAAAAATAGTCAATACATGTATTTCAAATTACTCTGGATGTGGTGCCAAGTATCCCCAGTGTATCTGAAGGAGGTAAGAATTTATGAGCACACTCAGTTAATATAATAGTAGACTTGCACAGCATAGTCACCTTCTAAGTCCAGCTTTATCACTGGCATATTAATAGATAATAGCTCTACATACAGTGTTAGGCCGGAGAAACTTTTTAACTTTAACCCAAAGAAACAAGCCTAAATAAACTTTGATAAAATAGATTCATGCATGAAATATTTTTAAAGCAAAATTAAAAGAGGAAAAGAAAAAGATCTTTATGAAAATGGGTTGAATGTTTAATTCCTGAAAGACAGTTTTTTTTGTCTGCTGAAGCTCAAACCCAGGGCCTAATACATGCTAAGCAAGTCCTCTATTACTAAATTACCTCCCTATCCCTTTTTTTTTTTAATATTTATTTTTTAGTTGTAGTTGGTGGTGCTGAGGATTGAACCCAGGGCCTGGCATGTGTTAAGCGAGCGCTCTACTGCTGAGCCACAATCCCAGCCCTATCCCTATTTTTCTAAGACTAAATTTTCACTTATTAGATTTGTCTGAAATGGGAGGCATCCTTTGATATGATAGTATTTTTTCAGATTAGCAATTAATTTAAGCCCATATCACATTCAATTAGAATTGTTTAAAAATTTACTGTGCTGGGGATAGAATTAAGCCAAATGCTGGGCAACAACTACCACTGAGCTGCAATTTCAGCTTTGCCTTAAATTTTTAAAAAATGTTTTCTAACAATGAGATTATAATTTATCCTAATATTTGCAGTCAATACTGCCTGAAATTATAATGGAAAGCTTTCTATGGAATATAACATGGAATTTATGAAATATATATTATGAAACCCTAAGGATAGATTCAGAAACCAGATAAAGTTATAAATCAGTACCAAAACTTTTTTAAATGGAAAAAAAAATCCCTGGGGGCAATAATTTATGACAAAAGATTTGAAAATGTCATTGTTTTTTAAAAAAATTTTCTTCCTACTGTTGTCTTGACTGTATAAAAATCACATGGTTGGGCTGGGGTTGTAGTTCAGTGATAGGCAAAGCACTTACCTAGTACATGTGAGTAACTGAATTTGATCCTCAGCATCACATAAATGAATAAAATAAAGGTATAAAAAAATCATGTGGTCTGTGAAAATATGGTGATGATGCAGAACACTATTGTACAAAACTATTCCATCAAGTGGAAAAATTACCATTCATATTAAGGAATTATGTGTCTTAAGGGCAGAGCATTTCTACTTTTACGTGTGTTGGAACTGAATGCTATCAGGTACAATCCAATTCCATTTCAGAGCTCACTGTTACTCTGTGATCTGAGACCAACTAAGGAACAAAATAAATGCTTCAGCAAATCTCTTGCATAGAAGTGCAGCACACAATTCTGGACAGTTTGAAATTATTTTTATAACATAGCACAAAAGAATCTACAACTAAAATCTGTAAAGCTTCCCTGGAAAGGAGTTACCTTTTCTGAATGTCTAATCAAAGCTTAGGCTTTTACACAGTAGTTTTTGATTAACCAAAGAATTCAATTTCTCATCTCTAAAGGCTAGTACAGCCCATAATATTTATTATTTCCATGCTTTTTCAGTATTTACATATAATCAAATTGGCTTTTACTATTAACTTTTTTTTAATGGAAGGGAAAAAAATCCTAACACCAGAGTTGATTTCCTTCTGCAAAACAAAAACATAAAAATTTGTTTGTAAATCCTTTGTTGGATTTAAAAAACACAAGTTAGGTAAAATTGTCACTAAGTAGTTAAGTCATATGGTATAATATCTTAAGAAATAATGTTTCTTTACCCAATTGAGACTTACCCT